GACTTGATAGGCGCGTGAGCTTCGGTACAACGCGTGATTCGTTCAAGTCAGTTATCCAGGAAGGAAAGCTAATATTGATGGCGAAGCAGCTGAAATTCAAGGCACAGTATGCCCAGGTTGGATTTATAGACAATTGTCTCGCGTCTGCAGCAAGGGTTTCCCGACTGAGAAAATGTACGTTTTGCTCGAGATGGGTTTCTTGACAATTATCTCATATCCACAACTTGGGTTTTAGCCAACTATCCCCTAGGACAGCAACTGACATATCCTCTTCCCCATCAGAGAAGTAGGATACAACCCAGACATTAACTTCGGTTACTTTGCCAGTAGTGACGGACAGCATAATATGTTATTAGGGATGGTGAATGATGGGAAAATAGGACAGAGGAACTCTGGTAGTAGCCAAGGGTTGCAATGTCTACATGCGACCATGATGAACAGACAAAGGAATCAAGAACATTAGTCCAATAGGCAAACTGAGGCATTCATTCCTAAAGTGAAAAACCCTTCTTAAGGAAAGAAAATTTAATTGCAGTAGATCAAAACAAGGGGGGAATGCATAACATTTAGATATGTGGGGATTTGTGAGTTTACCAGGTTGTACCTTTGCTGTGTATCACTAAGTCGACCATACCCTTAAATTAGGTGTCGTTTGCACGCCATCTGCGGTGAGATCCGTGGATGTTACTCTCCGTTCCAGATCTGGAACGCGTAGCTAAACTGGCATTCGAAAATTTAGAACTTGAACGCCTAGTAATACGTTCGCGTCCCCGTCCTCCTCAGAAACGGGTAACCAAAACTCTCTAATTTGGGCAAGGAAGTGAAAGGACTCAAGTCTATTTCTAGTTTAGTTACTAAGGGATGACCAAAGTTGTGATGAGCCTTGGACCGGAAAGAAGCTTATTTCATCTATTATCCCATTATGCATTACCGGGCCGCAAGAAGCAGGTCCACGGGCCACATGCGGCCCGCAGGTTGCACATCCCTGCTCTATACCTCTCCAGCTTCCGTAGCATAGGGTGACCGGATCGTCCCGGTAAAACCGGGACAGGCCGTTTTCTCTGGAACAGCCCCTGGTTTTGAGGTATTGCCCTACTCGGAAAACTATCCAGTGATTTTTCCTTTCAGTGCCACTCATTTGTAGCAAGCAGCTCATCGGTCTATTGTCAACCGTAAACGGAGGGAAAATGTCTCGGATTTTCCTTTAAAAAAAAATATGGTCACCCTACCGTAGCACCAGCAATACATTGCGTATTAATTTCTGTGCTTAATTTAGTTAAATTCAGGATAATTTGCCATTTTTTAAGGTTTCATGAATCCCGTAACTGTGTAGGAAGTATATTACGCTACAATCTGTACTGAAGAATAGGAATGGGTGGTGGAAATAGCACAGTATATATTGAAGTGATTTGGCAGCCAATTAATGGCGCCCTGTGCGGGCGCACCGCTCGTATCCCCCTCGGTACAGTTCTGTTCTATGGTGATTTGGAACTAAGAAAATCCCGCTTCTGGCGCTGCATGAACATGCTCAAGCTTATATAGGTAGGCATCACGTATCACCTTCCCAATCTCAGATGAGGTTAAGGTGATAGTGCGAGGGGAGTGATAGGGGTGAGGGGAATGTCACCCTATACACAAACTGGTAAACTCCTTCTGGCTCAGGGACCGGTTCCCTCGCGGGCCAATGACGGATTTTCCTTAGTTTCAAGAGTTCAACAGTTAACGACAGAGTTAGTTTTTTTCTTTGCATGTGTGAAAATGCGAGCTGGGATTGCCATTGGCAAGTGAAACCTGTGCATCCTGACAAAGGGATAGACGTTCGGGTATACCGAAGTTGGTGAAGTTCGCAGATGTCTGAGGCATACCGATGTCTGGAAGGAAAAAGGCAATCGTATTTCTTTTACGCGTGGGCGACAAGGTCTACTGGACGTTCATCCTGCTCGCCGTTTTGTCAAGTAACGCGTTCCGCGTCGAACGTGGGAGAGGAGGTTCAGTCCTCGTTGGAAATTAGTTTTCACGTAACGAAGTTGAGATTCATGTGCAGTTTTCACAAGATTTCACAATGTGCACAAGACGAAGGACCACGATGGTAACGATAGCTCGCAGGCATGCATACGATGGATTCTAAAAATTCGGAAAGTCGATGGTTCCAGACTGAACCATCCGGCATGAAAGGGTTAATTCAAGGTTTCTCAAACTGGGAGGCTTAGATATACGAGACAAGGAGGTAGGGAAGTTCATGGACTTAATTTTATAAGTCCTCGCTGATAGTGAGCATCAGCACTGCTGGGATTGATCCTAATAGCTTCTTCGAAGTCGTCCTTGCAGCCATCAAAGTCGTCTAGTTGCAGCTTGACCAAGGCTCGCCTGATTATTGCAATGTGCAATTTAAAAAAACTATGGAATATTTTATTGATCTATTTGTTTTTCTTTGGAAATAAATCAAATTCCAGCAGATCTTTATGGCACTTTCTCCAAGGGTCCAAGAATAAATGTAAGCAATTCAGGGGCAGACTTTTATATGAAATTCCTTTTTTCAAGCATGTACACTTCTGTCGGCGATTTCCTACGATTCGAATGAAGATGACAAATGAAACCTGCGTCCCTTTGGGCTGTAATTGGAATGCTCGATGAATGTGGTGTCCGTGCACTCGCTCTGTCGAAATAGTCGAAGAAACTCAATGACGTAGAAGAGCTGGGTTTCCCTGGCAGAGCAAAATTTCCGAACACATTTCTGTAAGATTCTTTGAAAATGAGATTTGCGCTGTCATTGTTATCGTCCAGTCCAGATTCGATCATTTGTGGGCCCAGAAGCATGTGAGCGTCGTTCTCAATAAATTACGCGAATGTTAATCCGTTTCCTAACTGTGACGTAGTCCCTGAAACGTTGCCACCTGTTTCCTATGTTTTGAATCATCGCATGAAAAAAGCATCCGTGGTCTAAGTTCAATTTTTAAGTACTCCTCTCAGAGAGAAAGGGGGCACGACGCCGAGCCAGGGTCGCTAGGGGGGGCGCAGCGTAAAACTGCTGCTGTTGAGAACTGCTGGGTTAAACACTGCTCCTTACAGATGTTTTGTTTTTGTCGGAAAATGGATGAGGCCTTCTCTCCCTCAGGAACAAGAAATGTTATCATTATATGCTCTACATGTTCACACTCACCAGACATGTTGTCTACTTCTGCTCTGGTAGAGATTGCCAAGCTGGTATCCTAGAGCTATGTCAGGCAGGATTGCCACCTCATGAGAAAGGGAACATTGGGATTTTAGGAGCAAGCATTCTACTTATAAAATTAAGTCCATGAACTTCCCTACCTCCTTGTCTCGTATATCTAAGCCTCTGCAGCAGAATATATGCATATGTTGGGTCTTTTTTAATAACATTTTAATTCAAGGATATTTATTTTGGTACTACCTCAGGATGGTTCTTCTATTTTGAAATCACATGAGCTTAATTGTTTTGCTGTGAAGCTTCAGACCATCTTTCAGAGAACATTAACAGGAGAGTCATTTCCCATTGGAATATTATCTTTAAGCTTGTAAGTTATTACAGGAGTTGTGTTGCCCATAAGAACACCTGTTTGTCTCTGTTTCTGACTATTTGCTCACCTGCAGTAAACCTATCTCTTCTTTCTTGACCCATTCACATTCACAAATGTACTGCTATGCATTTGAATCTTTCATGTGGAATATTTCAAAGCTTTGAAAATGCCATGAAAAATTCATTAAAATTCATCATAGTGTACTTGAGAGAGTCTTCTGAAGAATTTGATGCCACATATGTCAGACTCGCCTAGACTAGAAGGGGAAAAGTTACTTGATGGAAATGAGTTAAAATGCATCTTTCCTATATTTCTTTTTGAACAGACACCTCTTGAGAAGGCCCAGCTTGCCAAAGCTGAGGGTAACAAATGCTTCAAGAACAGAGACTACAAGGAGGCATTAAAGCACTATTCAGAAGCCATTGAACTTTGTCCAAAGGATGCCACAATGGACCTGGCCACCTTCTACCAAAACAGAGCTGCCACTCATGAATATTTGGTGAGGACGACATATCTAAAGTCAACCAAAGTGGAAAAATCTGCATATCTTACATCTCAGCTTCTTTTTTTAGGGAGACAACAAAGCTGCCAGAGATGATTGCACAACTGCATTGGAGTTGAATCCCAAATATGTAAAAGCACTCCAGAGAAGGGCTAAGGTGTGTGAAACTATGGAAGACCTACAGCAAGCTTTGGAGGATGTTACTGCAGTTTGTATTCTGGAGTGTTTCAGCAACGTCTCTGCCTTGCAAGCTGCTGATAGAATACTGAAGCAACTAGGTAGCTGACTATACAGCTTTTTTTTCAGTAATCTCACAGAAAATTTAAGCCTGTCATAAGTAGCAAGCCACATTTGCATATCCTTTGAGTATCTATTTTTTTTTTTTAGGAAAGGAAGGCCCCTATGATAAGATATGACACACATTTCATATTGGCCTGAACTTGGCTAATACATTGAAATTAGTCAGAAATGTCTACCTCTCCTTTCATTTTTAAATTTTACTTTCATTTTTTTAATTAATAGAGCTTGTAACCTAACCATTTCTCTTTCCTATCAAACCAGGGAAAATGCGTGCCAAGGAGACATGGGAAAAAAAGGATTGTGTCTTCCCATCTAAATGTTTCATTCGTACTCTGTTGGCCTCCTTCAAAGATGACCCAGTGATGCAAGATGTTCTACAACAGGGGAAGGCCAATGGGTACCCAGAGGAACCTCTCATGTAAGATATTCCATTAGTTTCATTGCTCAAATGATATGGGTGATCTCAACTCAAACTTGCTTCAATATCAGTGGAATGGCCAAAGCAAAGGAAGCATTGAGGAATGAGGATTATGAATTAGTCTTGGATGCCTGTGAAGAGGAGTTGGCTGGAGATGTAGCTAGTCCTCATCATGCAGAGGCCTTGTGCTTGAGAGGCACCTTTCATTACCTGAGGAGTGATTTGTCAAAAGCTGTGTCCGATTATTCTGCTGTTGTCAGCATGGAGGATGCCCCAGTCAAGGTAGTTTTATTCAAATATAAATATATGCATTTTCCTTTTATGACTGATTTTTTGCAAGTATCTTTGTATTTGATGCAGGTGCGTGCAAATGCAATAATCAGGCGAGCCTTGGTCAAGCTGCAACTAGACGACTTTGATGGCTGCAAGGACGACTTCGAAGAAGCTATTAGGATCAATCCCAGCAGTGCTGATGCTCACTATCAGCGAGGACAAGTAGGATTCTTGTATTCCCCCAACAAAAATATTCAGTGAGGTGGTGCAGTCATAGTTTTCCTTGCTTCCCTTGGATAGGTATTTTTCCTGCTAGAGAAATATGAGGAAGCCTTGGAAGACTTCAAGAAAGCTGTGGCTCTGGCAGAAGATGACTTTCCAGTTGCAGAGGCCCAACAACTTTATACTGAGTATAAGATTTCCTCAAATGCAGACAAGAATCAAGTCAACAGCATCATCAAGAGATTCCAGGAAGTTGAAGAGAGATACCCAAAATGTGGGGAGTTAATGGCACTCCTTGCTCAGGTTTGTCTTTATTCATCAGTTCCTTTTGACAAGAGAGCAGATTTTATTTTGACCACATCTTTGAAAACGCAGATATATGTTGAGCAGAATGATTTAAATAAGGCAAATGCCTGCTTTGATAGAGCAATACAGGCTGATCCAGAGAATGCAACACTGCTGGTCCACAAAGGTAAGACATTCGTGCTGATGTATTTCAAGGGTATTTGTTGAGAGAAAATACAACACAAACTCATTTTATATTTCCAGGAATGCTCCAGCTACAAACCCGAATGGACATAGTCAAGGCCACTGAATATCTCAAACAGGCTATTGAGGTAGACAACAAGTGTGGATATGCTTATGAAATGTTGGGAACACTTGAAGTGCAAAAGTTAGTTGCGTGCTTCTGTCATCACTTATTTGAAGGAATGGTGAATAATTATTTTCTATTTTCTTACAGGGGAAATTTGCCCTATTCAGTGGAGCTCTTTAATGAAGCTATTCGCCTTGCAAAGACAGAGGATGACATGGCTCATCTCTTCTCCCTGAAAGAGGCAGCCATAGCACAGAAACACCTGTCAGAGAAACTTGGAGTCACACTTCCTTCCTTTCCAGGAATGTGAAAGTGTCATAGGAAGTGAAGGAGTCGGTTTTTATTGTGATTCAAATTAGGGTTTGGAGGAGAAGCTTAAATCATGAGATTCCAGTGCAGTGTGTTCTCTTCACCACTGGTGATCTTGACAACATTTTTGTCTTTCCACATTCCCTGTATGATCTAAAGGAAATGAATGTGGATCCTGCTGACCAGCATGGAAAACCTGTTTCTCCTTTTCTCAAGACAGATGCTTTATTCATATACACAAACATATAATGTGCATCCTATGCAGAGGAAGCTGACAGCTAACACAGTCTAGAACTTAGAATGGGGACTCAATTCACACCTCATATCCTACAAAGTGTCTCTTCCCCAAACACTCTCCAATGAAAAAGCAGAACACAACTTCCAAAGTCACCAGTGTATTCAACCATGCTTCCTGGAAATGCAAAAACAAAGTGAGGGACTGATGAACCAGATGCCAAACAGATCTGATCAAGTAATCTGATTATTGCCAAAATGTAGACTCGAAAAAACATTGTTTCTCATGAATCCTAGCATCAACAATACTAGCTGAGTTTTCTTTTGGATTTCATAATTAGAATAAGATACTTGAAAGTGGTCAAAATTCTTTCTATAATTGTATGAAGACTTAATAAAGGGCTACTTTACTTATATACTATATTTACTTATATACTAATACTTAATAAACCTTGACTAATATGAAATCTTGATGTCTTACATTAGTCTGTAAGTCTTTTCTGACTACACTCAAAGGAGATGCAAGGACTTCAAACAAGTATTTGAGGTAGGCTGAGTAATGTGCCTACTGAATTTATTGAAATAAAAAAATCCCATTACCAATAACAAAAACTTACTTGGACTGTGAGCTGCTTCCATCGCCGCTCTTTGGCAGCTACCAGGAGATTCTGAATCTCTCTCTTGATTTGGGGTATCTCTGATGGTGATGGTGGGCGAAGTTCAACTTTTGCATATTTCCAGAAAGTTTGCAGCTTTGGTCTTGTGGCAGCAATGACACCTAGTGCATAAGAGAAAGGATATTGATTTTTATTCACCTACACTGTCATTTCAGGTTCACATACAATTTAAAAAAATTTTTAAACAAAAGGCTATAGGTATTCTAGTGCCCATACTTGCTCAGGCCCCTTTTCAAATCTTTTTTCTACTTATTGAATCTCAAACACTAACACAATCTTGGAGCTCCTACTTTGGTCAATTCACTGATCCAATTAGCCATCATGACTTGTCAATACCAACCTTCTGGGTCATTTCATTTCCATGCCCTGTGAAACTGAAATTCAGGGAGGGCAACTTCATTCCTCTTAACCCTTTTTGGAGTATATTTAATTTTTAGTCGTTGAGTCAAACATTTAAAACCTTTTTACATCAGTACATTTCAAGTGTCTAAGCACACAAAAAATTAATGGATGTGGACTATAGTCATACTTCACCAGCAAAGGTATGAAGCACAGTTGGACTGTAGTTGAACATCACAACAAAAGGGTTAATGGAATTCTTGTTCATCTGCTACAGCTCTCAAGGAATTAATCAGATTCAGACAAGATAGCGATCTATATATATCAGACTTTAGATAATGTACAAACTTTGTTTTGATATCTTGCAGTTCCTGCAACAAGTTATGCATGTCATTTATGTCGCTTCAAACCCCCACTGTGTATGTAGCCTTTCATTCTGCCTTTCAAAAAATAAATTTTTCATGTGAATATATTTTTTTTCAAAGCTCATGTGACACCAATAACAAATTACATTTTATAGCTTCCCATAGATTCAAGGAATTTTAAAACCAAAACTGATTTTACAAATGGTATGATTTCTGAAATGGCTCAACTTTATCAAGCAAAGCCTCTGATTTGCCAAGTTATAACACAATACATATATAATTACATATACAATGCATATATAAACAAATGAGAACTATAGCATTGATCCCAAAAACCTATTTAGAACATCTGAAAATTCTAGTTCCAGTGCAATGCTATTCATATATTAGACTTAACAAAACATGTTAGAACAGCCATCAATGGCATGTTCGCACTGCTGCAAATAAATGGGGACTCAAGTATATGAACTCACTTTCTGCTTGGAAGATTCAATACAGAAGTGCTGAGTTCAAACAATTTTGCGTCAACTAACTTACTTGTAGCATATGAAACCATTTATCTGTACTTGTTCTTTTCCAGGAATCCAAAATGTTCTGAAGGAACTTTTTGCTTTTATAAGTAGGCCAACTGCCATGATTTCAAGAATCCACCCCTATTTTCCCTTTGATACCAACTGATTTTGAACTTGATCTTACATGACTAGCAACTGATCATATCCTCTTGCATTCCATGTACATCTGGACTCTTGAACCACTCCAAGTGATTCAAGATATATGTATATGAATATTGAATGTGCAGGAAAATTACCAAGTTTTAAGAGGATATGTCTAACCTTGGCCTTTCTTTTCATGGATAATACCATTCTTCCGACGCCTAGATTTAGACATGATTCCACTTCATTGATGGGAAATTTTCAATCACCCTCCTATGATTGGCCTACTGGTATTAGTCTCAGCTCGTGAATGCACGCCTCTTACAATAAAATCCCCCTTCCAATGCCAAGACGAGCTTGTCTCATGGCAAGCAGTTAATAAGTTGGAAGTTTGGCCTCTTTCCTTGAGCTTTCTAGTAGGGATGTTCAACTTGATTTGATCATAGTCCTAACCGTGAAACTTACTTGGCACCTTCGATGCAAGACCTGCTATAGCCCTCGACATCTTGGAAGGGAAGCAAGGATGGCGGCCTAATGAAATGAGGTGGAAGAAAAATCAGAAGGCAAGCCTGGCTTGATGAAGATCAGAAGGTATGGAGTGTCCAGGCAGCCGCCATCCAACTTCTTACCTGTCACTGCCCCCAGTCAGAGTTCATAAGGACTAGTGGGATTTTTCTCCACTCGGCAGATGTCTCTGCGTCTCTATGGGTTGAAATACGAGGGATGGTTCAAAAGTATTTGGACAGGTTCTCAGGTAGGACTCAGTTGCCACATCCAGCATACAGTCCGGATCTGGTGCCATCAGATTATCATCTGTTTGGAGCATTGAAGCATGATCTGCATGGGCATCGCTATGACACCATCTAAGGCGTGAAAAAAGCTGAGTGGGTTTTCAAGCGGACATTTATAAACTTGTGCCCAGATGGCAAAAAAATGGATTGCCGACCAAGGCAACTTTGTGGAAAAGTAATGGTGATATTAACAAAGGCGTGTGTAATATTTAGGGATTATCTCTGTAGTAGTTTTGGAGAAAATAAAATCTGTCCGGATTCTATTGGATCATCACTCGTAGCTTGAGAATGCAATTCACCTGCACAGCCTAAAGGAGGTGTCAAGTTGAATCCTTTCGAGTTCATAGAGAAGCAGTTTGAAATTCCAGACTTCGACACTTTGCGGAAAGAGGCTCAGGAAGGACAGGGGAGTTTGGCCAGAAGCGACAATTTATATGTTTACGATGCGGAAGGTCTACCTCCGACTCGCTGTGAGACTGTTGGACATTTAAGGTGCAAGATCGTTCCTGCAAAAGAGAACACCTTGTTGAAAATCTCCTGCATGCCCGCGAAATACTCCTCGAGATGAAGCCATTGCTAATCATGCGTCAATACTTAGCTAGAAGTCCCAGCAGGAGACTTTGAGCGTAATGTATGTCGCTCGATGCGGCGAGTGAAAAGCGAGATGGCAAAGGAGTTCCTCGATGCGATCAGCTTATTCTATTTCCGATATGGAAATTATTCTATTTATTTTTGAACTTATTATTAAAGGTTTTTTTTTAAGTCTAATCATATCGGGTCACCGCGAGGTCATTGAAAAGGAAAATCATGTGAGAAAGGCTGGAGATGAAGTAGCAACAAGCGATTAGCACATTCCGTCTATCAGCTCCCACCTTGTTAACAATGTGGCTGACACCGTGGTTGAACCGTAGATAAGACTACCTGTTGCCTGACAGCAACTAATTGACACTTTGAATTCGATCCACTTAAATATTCTTTAGATAGTCTTTTAAAGTCGATATATGATGGCAGCGAATCTGTTAATGTTGAGAATGATCCCAAAGGTCTTTATCGATATGCCAGCCGCAGGAGTCAACGTTCGATCGGGCCCTTCAAGAACTACAAGTTGATAGGGAATAACATTAGTCTGGGCTGGAATTGAATGAATTCTTTGCTTCGGCTTTCACAAGTTAAACCAAAGTACGATTAAAAAGATCACTTCGATGGCCACCGAAGATATCGCCATCGCAGAGAAAGAGATTATGAATAGAACACTAAAAACGAAAAGACGACCAGTCCGAGGGAATTCTAGTTCGTCTTCCCGAGGAACTCCGTCAGAAAAGGTTGCTGTGCTTTAAAAATCGTTTCCGGGATGTGCAATTTGCGCGGGGAAGCGCCTGATAGAATATTAGCGAACGCAGTGCCTGTCTCCAAAGTTGGAGACTGAGTGCCATCCGGGTGATTGCGGGTCGGTCGTTTTCCCGAGCATTCTGAGGGAAATCTTGGAAAGACTCCAAAGAGATAGATCGTGAACATGAAATTCCTCGCGGGGGGTAACTCGCTCCCCCGTATTCGTATTTCTCGGTTCGACGTAAGCTGACGTTCTTATTTCGCCGATTTCCTGAAATTGTACGATTGGATCACGGGTACGATGGATGAACATCGCATTTCTAGACTTTGAATGTGGCTGTCGATACCGTTCCTCGCAAGAACTTACGGACTAAACAGGAGACGCATCTCATTCGAGATCGAGTGCTTAACTGGATGAGCGGCTGATGGTCGGTTCATGGCAAGCGGGGACGTGTTTTCACAATTTATGGTCGCGAGTCAAGTCCCTCAGAGCGCCGTCCAACGACCGCTTCTGTTTCCCGTTTATGACGAAGATTTAGATAGAGGCCTCGCGGGTAAAATCAGTAAATTTTCAATCGATACGAAAATAGGTTTCTTCATCTCGGAGGACAAGGAGAGAACCGGGAGAGTCTAACTGCTTAAGAGCGAGTGGAGTAAAAAAAAATAATAAAACAAAAACAAAGTTCAATGAGATGACTTTTGATATTCTTTACTTTGATCATAATAACAATAGGTTTCTGAACCTGTTTGGCGAGGATAGGCTGGTGATGGAGAACGAGGAGAGATGATCCTTGAAATTTTCTGAACTCGCAAGCGAAGGAACCTGCATTTAACAGGATTTTCTGTTTCATCTTACGGCATTCCAGTGCCATTGCAAGTGCTCGTGCGTTGTTCATACGTTGCAAGCCGCATTTGTACAGAGCAATGAATTCAATGTTAGAAGCCTGGAAGCAAAAAGGATTAAATGGCACTGAAGGCGGTTCAAATAGTTACTATTCCTGTTTGAATAGCAGAGCGAGGGGAAACCACTTCAATAAGCCCCAAGTGAGACTCCAGTTGCGGAATGCTTTTTTTAGTTGGGTAGTGAGTGGATGGAACGTGTGAAGTGATGATGTAGTCTCTACCTCCTCCGTAATTTGCTATTAGAAGAGGTTAAACACCTTCATGATAAAAAAAAAAAAGAGTGAGAGGTAGCTGTCGGTAACTTGGCAAGCGACACGCCCCTACCATGGCAGCCTGCCAATCACTCACCCCTCTATCACCCCACCCACTATGATCACTCACTGCCGGTATATCATGGATTGAGGGGGGAAGGGGGGGGGGGGGGGGAGTTGGGATGCACACGAGAGAGACCCGGGATGTGAAACAGGTAGGAATGCCTCTTCGCGTCTCGGGCCAGACCTTGAGCCTCGAATTGATGGATATCTATAATTCAGGGTGTTCTGCGAGTTGCTTGACACTGTCGAGTAGGGTGTCGTCCTGGAACGGGTTCAAGATTCAAGATAGTTAGTGATATCAAGAGGCTATTTCGCCCATTTCGATATCACGTGTCGAGGTCGAGCGTTCCTTAATTTTAGAGTAGGCCTAACCCTCTTAAAGCTAAATATTTATTTATTTTTTGTTATTTGCCTATCCTAGTTGCTTACTGTCTAGTACCTAAC